CAGCGGAAGTAGTCTGCAGTACTGCACTCTAAACACTGCGCCACCGCAACACCGCAGCTCAAAATCATAATAACTGGTTTTCACTTTGAACTTAGTCTGGTAGATGGAGATCATATCAGTTTGAATCAGGATTCAGAGACTGAAATCTGCAAGACTGCCTACCAGTGCTAAGAAATTAAGACAGGAGCCATTCATTTATTTTCTTACCTTTGAATTATATAGAAAACGATCCAGGTCTTGTACTCTTCTTATTTACAATCATCTTATCTTATGCTTCCTTATCTGCTGTTTTAAATGGAATTAGGACCCTGGTGTAAAGGAATACAAAAGCACTTAGACTTATATACTGCTTCACAGTGCTTTACAGCCCTCTCTAAGCAGTGTACAGAGTCAGCATATTGTCCCCAACAATTTGGGTCCTCATTTTACCTACCTCAGAAGGATAGAAGGCTGAGTCAACCTTGAGCCTGGTGAGATTTAAACTTCCAAATTGCAGGCAGCCAGCAGTCAGCAGAAGTAGCTGAATCTTTGGGAAGTCCTCCTAATATCCAGGTATGAAAACTTTAGAGGATGTCTGAACATTAAAACATTTATAACCCATGCTCTATCTAGCAATAACATTTAACTTAGACCAGTAAGGGCCTTTGTCACATACTACTTCAACTTATTTTATAAAGGTCAGGATATGCAAGCAGTTTAATTTGTCTAGGCTGTAACTAAATCCAGAAGCTTACAGCTTTGTGTGGTTCAGCATTCCAACTTTCTAACAAATGTCTCCTAGAATAGGGGTCTCCAACCTTGGCAACTTTAAGCCTGGTGGACTTCAACTTCCAGAATTCTCCAGCCAGCAAAGCAAAGCTGGCTGGGGAATTCTGGGAGTTGAAGTCCTCCTGGCTTAAAGTTGCCAAGGTTGGAGAACCCTGTCCTAGAACATACTGCTTATTATTACTTTAAAATTAAATATTGTTATTGAAAGGAAAGCTGTTGGTTCCGGAAGACAAGAAATACAAAGTAAGGGCCAGCCTTTTATTGGATGAACTTTGATTGGTGGAAATTTAGGCATGGCAATATCATGATTAAGATACAGAGAAAAGCTGAAGGAATCAGTATTTTCAGATAGATTCAGAATTAATATTCTGTCTGGTTTTATTAAATAATTCAAATGTCTTTACTACTGGGAAGCTTTGCTTTTAAAAAAAAATTGATTAATTTCAGTTAGGTTTGTGAAGCAAATCTTATCCCTGGATCCTATGTTGTTTATCAATTTTGAAGGCATTATTTATGCATCATGTTTTCTTCTGGAGCACAAAGTTGACAGAATCTGAAGTTGCTGATGCAAAAGAAGGCATGGTTAATGGTGCTTTAGGAAAATCCCTAAGAATCGCCACTGAGAATATTTGTCCAAACTGTACATCTAAACTGGTTTGTTTCCTGCTCTCCACCACCGAAATATTGTCTAATTTGCTGAGCAGACAAAGCCCTTTTAAGAAATGTAGACACAGAAGTGATGTACTGTATGTAGAAATGTGGAACAAACCCATGAAATTAAGCAGAACAAGAACAAATAGACCACAAAGCTCCTCACTAAAATTTGGCCAATTGATGGAAATTAATAGTGTAGTTCTTTGTCCCTTTGAAATGGCAAATGGATGTTAACCTAACACAGGATTTGCACTGAACCTCAGGGAAATCTTCAACCTGACTCCTTCGGAATGGAAGTTAAACCAAAAAATTCACTTCTGCACACATTCATGACATGACCATATATAAATAATTAAATACCCATTTCACTTTGAAAGTGTGGTCCTTTCTACCAAATCCTGGTTCGCATGTTTGGCATGGATTTTCATTCAGAGATTATTCAGTCTTGGGGAAACATGGGCTAACCTTAAATCATGGAATTTTGAATAACCTTGAATACAAGAATCGCAATTCAACATAAAAGGTGGGAGCATTAAGAAGCCTATTAATTCTAATAATATATAACTGTGAGAGGATACATTGGTTTGTGATTGTATTATGTTACATCCTCTTGATACTAATGGTATACTCCAGAAGACAATTTGGGAGTGTTTGCATGAAGTGGGAGAATGGGCTGTTTTGTTTTGTTTTTAATTTGATTTATATGCCGCCCTTCTCCAGAGACTCAGGGCGATTTACAGTGCGTTAAGCAATAGCCTTCATACTTTTGTATATTTATACAAAGTCAGCTTATTGCCCCCACAAACTGGGTCCTCAATTTACCTACCTTAGAAAGGATGGAAGGCTGAGTCAACCTTGAGCCTGGCGAGATTCGATCTTACTTTAATTGCAGACAGCTAGTGTTAAATTACAGTGCTTCTGTCTGTTGAGCTATCCAGGCTCAACAGACAGGTTGAGCCTGGATGCTTCCTAAAGCATTTAAATTTACTTCACCTCCAAAGGCTATGGGGAGCAAGGAAGTGGCCTATTATTATATATAAGAATGTCATTAGTATTCTGAATCATTTGGACTCAGTTTTGGGGATTGGAGGAGAGAGAGTTGAGCAGACCAGAAGACTTTGCAACTGACTGTTAACTTCAGAATGACATTCGGGTATAACTTTCATTCTATCCAGTGCAGGTTGAGCCATAAAATTATTGTGTGCAATACTGTGCATTTGTTTATTCTAAGAAACAAAAATATGTAAATTAGATAAAAATACCCATAGTGAATGCATATGTTTGGGGAAAATGCATATGTTTGCAAAAATATATAATAGTAGAAATTTTGGTTGGAAATTTTGGTTACATATTGAGTTATACATTAACAAAGTTGTTTGGAATATTTAGACCTATATATGAATTTATGTGCAGATCATGGGTTTATGCTAATCTTTGAAGGTTTAAGCTGCTTTGCTAGCTAATGAAACATCTTGTTTCTAAGTATGAGATGAAGCAACCACACTTTCATGGGTTGTTCTGCTTCTCAGCCCCTTGTCTTTCACACTCAAGAGTGTTTCGAGGTTGAGAGGACCCAATTTCTGCAGCTGGCTGAAGAATTTGCAACCTGGGTGGTTTCAGCAAATGTTGCAGATAATGCCCCAATGCTTAATAGAGCCTTCCATCCAGGAGTGCCCTCAACAGGTTCATCTAGCCTGCTTGCCTGCAGGGCAGTCCTATGGCTATGTCCACTAAGGGTATCTCAGGATAGATGCTTGCACATGATAAGTCTTCCAGTGTACCCTGAAATAATCTAGCCTGGAAGCTCTTCAGATAGCCTTGGGGAGCAGTCAATGCTCTGATGAAGATAATCACATCACATCCAGAGTGCAGATCTCTGTCGAAGGGAATCTAAGTCACTTGGCACAAGCCTAAAAATGTCTATGCTTTCTTGTTTTTGAAATCCGCAAGACGGAGAAATTAAATGAAACTTGGCAGAACCACCCATTTCAATAAATTGAAAGTGTGATCACCTGGTAGTTATTTCCTTTCTAGCACTGTGAATTTAGTACAAGGCAGGAATGAAATCCAGCAGGTTCTGGAGAACCAGTAGTGGAAATTTTGAGTAGTTCAGAGAACCGGCAAATACCACATCTGGCTGGTCCCAGAGTGGGGTGGGAATAGGGATTTTGCAGTATCCTTCCCCTGCCATGCCCACCAATCCACGCCCACCAAGCCAAACCATGCCCACCAAGCCACTCCCACAGAACCGGTAGTAAAAAATTTGAATTTCACCACTGGTACAAGGTGGGTATAATGTAGGGGGAAAGCAAAGAAGCAAAGAAATTCAGAAATGTCCTTCAGAGGAGAAGTAAGGATGTCTCCTGCCAGAACACCACAGAATTTGATCAGCTCTACCTGTCCTTGTATACAAAAGAGGGGATAACAAAGCTTTCAAGATATATCCCTCAGCTGACAATTTAGGAAATGAGTGAGGAAAATCATCAAATACACTCTGGATATTAGCAATTCAAATGGAACCCTTTCTATTTTTAGTTACATTTTAAAACAAACTAAAGATCTTGTAACAGGTGCATTAAGCTTTTTCTCAAAGAATGTTCTGTTGTATAACTGAACTCTCGGTAAGTGGTTTCAGCCCACGCATCAGAAGAAAACATTATTCTAATCAAAGCAGCTTAATTCAGGTTATGTACAGTATTGTGTTGTGCTCATGAACTGGATATTGTGCTAGAACTGCTAATCTTCGGTATGTGATTTTGTGTGCCTGCGTGTATGCTTGTATATCTAAATCATGCTACACATGAATTCCTACACATTTATTACACCACCATATATACATATTCCAATTCAGTTGGACTGTCTGTATTTGACTCAACATAGTTTTATTTTTTTTCTTCGCATGCCCAATGAGACTGGAAACATATAGGGCCTAAGGAAAATGGCTTTTTTTCCCTCTTCAATTCTAGAACTAATATTACCAGTAGTATATTTAATTGTATCCTTAGATTTAGAACACCAATGTAAAAAAATACTCAGAAAAAAAAAAGCTGTATGTATTTACAGTGTGTGTGTGTGTGTATCCTTCGAAGTAAGGATTTTATTTTTCTCTTCTTTTCTTTTAAATATATGTTACTGCATTTTTACGAATGTTACACAGTCCAAAGTGATAGACAAAAACTGATTATTGAGCTCATGCTACATTATTTGCATCATTGCCACATTAACCAGCAGTATTACATGTGCTTCAAAAATGTTTGGGGTGTAATGTAAAAAGAGCATTGCTGAGGGCTAGAGCTGATTAATTTTAGCTACATGAGTCAGATTTCATACATTTCTATCACTGCACGTTGTGGTTGTTCTATTTAATTTTGGTCTTAGAACATAATTCCGTATTCTTCCATATTCTTTTGGAAGAACTGCTTGGCATCTCATGTCAGCATACCACTATTTATTAAAACAGGCATGTCTACCTTTTAGGATTTTGCATACACCTGAAAAAATCCCATCATTTTAATTAATCAAATCATTAAATGAATGTGCTTTTGTTGTCACTCTTAATGGTGACTTATTTTTTTCAGGGTCATATGGGAAAAGTCGAGTCTGCTTTAATGAATAGCAGGGAGAAGCTCTTCTCATGTGAGGACTGAAGTACTTCTTCTGAATAACTTATGAAATGTGAACAATTCTACAAGCCAATATACTGTGGTTGTTAAGATCAGCACTAAGATCAGGAAGTCCACACTAAACAAATAACTTACTGAGTGATTTTGATCCATTCATTCTCAGCCAAACTGCTTTGTTGTGCAGATAAACTAAGCCATTACCATTTCCACCAATGGAAGCTCCCAAGAAGTCTATAAATAAATGTAATGAAATAAATAACGTTGATTGTGGGGGGTTTATCCTGATGTATCCTGAGCAACTTCAAAAGAAGTAAAAAATTAAGATGACCAGTGCTCAATTTCTTGACACTGACACATGTACAAAAAAGGGTACAACTTCAATCACGCAACCCCAATCAGCATCTCGCCTGTTTTGACCTCTGTGATGTCCCTGTAGTGTATATTTCTAAAGCACCACGTGAAATTGTGAGTATTATATAAAAATCATCAAGTTTCCTATCCATTTTGATTAATGAACAAATATTTTCTGCAACACCGTGATCATACTTCACCAAATAACTACTGCAAACTTTGACTAAAACAGACTGTTTCCCTTTGCACAGTATATTTATTGCACAGTAATATATTATCTTATAGAGCTGTGTATATTAGGAAAATGAGATGAAAATGTATTTACAGTTCCATGATAATTTTTGTTGTTTTTGATAAACTCATAAGGAGACAAGGAAAACAGTCAAGATGAAATGGGAAACTGAATGACACAGAAATGTACACATTTGCCTATGCCAGGAAAAAAAAAGTCTTTTCATTTTATAAAGAAAGAGTCTTTTATAAATGTTCTTTTCAGACATTTATATTAATGTTGTAAATAATTTCAACTCTATCTCATCTGTTTTCGAGGCACATGATGACTAAATTTAGTCCACATTTTGATACCCACATGTCAAGGCATCATATAGCATTGGCAATAGTACATGTTGACAAATGATTTTTAGTAACTTACATTTACAGGGGTTTTTTAGCAGAACATATTTATTGAACACAAATATGCAAAGAAGTATCAAATGATTTTTTGGAAAGTTAGCTGACAAATTTTCAGAGGCAGCAGGACAGGGTTAACGAGCAACCTCATTTGCATTTATAGAGAGGAACATTTAGTTTCAAAAACATAATTAACAAACCTACAGTTACATGCCGAATGCCAAATGCCGAATATATCAATCACATTTTTATTTTATTTATTTTACATAACAAATTTAGAGACCTCCCATCTAATTCATAGAGCTAGTAATGTGTATGATTAAGGCAGGGTAAGGTTTGGAAATTCTGTTTGTGATTATCCAGGTCTGGCTACAGCTAGCAAATGCCTAAAGAGAAGAGTTTTAAAGATGTTTTGGATTCAGAAAGAATGAGAGAGAAAACGTAATAAGAGAAAGCAGATAAGAGAAAATTTTAAGATTATCTTCTGATGATCAGTCTTGCTATGGCTTCACAGAAATGATATACAGAGGTTTAGATTAGAAAAGAATTATGGTATGCCCAAAGAGGGACCTAAAATTCTAGCACCAAGAATAAAAAAAGAAAAAGATGTTAAATTAAAAAAAAGTCTGTGAGGACTCAATTCATTGCTTTCATGAATTTATTTCAAAAGGAATGTGTCCAAACTCACTAGAAAATATAAATGTGGCATCAAGAGATTTCCAAGGGAAACTCAATAAAAGCATAATCCCTGCTCTCACCCCCTAAACTTCCTCATCTCCACCCATCATCATATAATTACAAATTCTGCTGTAACTGATTTCTAATTATTCATTTAATAAGTCAATGTTTTCCATCATATTATCTTGATTGACTATCTAGTTGCCAGATTTTGTTTGTAAGCCTTCTGTGTGAATACCCTAGATCAGGAAATTGGATTAACTAAATAAACATCTGAAGGTATCTAATTCTAGATATGTAAATAGTGTAGGAGTTCTGCTGTTACATCATCCAGATTCCAGTGTGCCACAAAAGCAGAAATATCTCCTATTAATGGCATCTACATAGCAAACTGTGCTTCTGTTCAGAAAACACAATTTATCAAGTCCAACCACTTATTATAAACCAAGACCACCTACTCATCATGCCACGTATCTGATACATAATGTAAAAAAAAAAAAGTTTTTAAAAAACCCTTTCCAAATGCCCCCCCCCCAGTTATAAAATTGAGGTTCTGAATATTCTGAATATTTAGTCATCAATCCCAACCCTACATTTGCCATCATTCTATGATGACTCCAAATGACAGAATGCACATCCTGTCTAATCATTATTTTTTTGTCCAAGTCCACATGCAGATGGATTTTAAACAACTGTCCTTTCCAAGTGACAAAATGTGAAAAAATAGGCTGGAAATTTGTTCTTTGCTATTGTATTATGAGGCATCTATGCCAACTTACTCACAGTCTGCTTTCCAGTCTTCAGCCACAGATAAGAAGGGCAACAGAGAGGAGAAAAGCGGAATTCAAGTAAAACATGTAGATATCTACCAAGAAAATTCTGTTTCTAGGAACTAAATGGTGCTATTAGTATTCACAGTAAGATTGTCTACCTCCAATGATGAATTGGATAGTTAATATGATAAGGGGTATATTTGATGGTATGAAGACAAACAATCCTAATGATCAATTATGTCCCTTAAGGGTAGCCTCTCACCATCCTGGTTATGTCAATAAAAGCTAGTGGCAATAACACTTGGATGGATCACAATCATATGAATATAACAGACTTCAAACCATTACACAAGATCAGAACTGGAATAAAATAACCTAATTTCCTTATATAATGTTTCACTACACCATACACACATACAGACATAAACTACACTTGGTCTTAGCCAAAATATTTTGTTTTATCGAGAACATTATCCATCCATTGATCCATCTCCTCATCTTTTTATCTATCTGTCTTTCTAGCTAGCTAGGTATCATCATCTATCCCATTTCTAAAATCCAAGCCTTCCAACTAAGTTTGTGTGAAGCATTGCTCTGCACATTATCATCCATGGAAGGAAGCGCCTTTCAGTCACCTCTGATTAATACCGAAGATGTTCCTCATTGCTGGCAGTATAGAGCTGTTTAAAATATCTGTTCAGAGACACACAACTACCTGCAGATAGACTTTCAGTACGATACAATGAGGCCATTTTGACCATTATAGTCACAACATTATTAAGCGTTCAGAAAATATGCACATTCCTCTCCCAAATCTAATTACTGTCACCCATAAAATAACAACAGAGTGGCACTTGATATGTATTTCTCCTAGGCCACTTATTACAATGTGCCAGGAAGAAGCATGAAAGAGAATCTGACACATTTTGCTGCCTAATGTAGGCAGTCCTAATAATATTTCCTATGATGGTAAAAATATAATAACAAATAATTTAGCTGTTTGGTATTTTTTTCACGAACTGCAAAAATTGAGCCATATGGTAGGGCTGACCTTGATAATCATGAAGCATACAAAATTATGGAAGTTGATGATTTAAATAAAGTTCTGTAGGCTTTTAACCTCCACACATTCACTGTGCTATGTTCTGTGTTCAGTTTTGCAGCAGATACATAAGCTAAATTTGTTTCTTTTCTTTACAGAGAAACATATTATTCCTTGAAATGCAAAGATGAATAAACGTGTCCATTTCAGTTTGGATCAGTTTCTCATTTTCTTCTGAATGTAAGGTCATGTCAGCTTCTTTCTATACCATAGTGTGCATTCTGAAAAAATATGTTTGAAGAGAGGTACATATTTTGTTCGCATTATCTTCTAATTTATTCAATTCTGTGTACATTTGTCCTAATACGAGTGATTTCTACAAGCTATTTACCACTAATTTAATGCATTTTGCATTTTTATCACCTTAAATGCATTATTTTAAATGCTGAACTACATCCATACATTCTGAAAAGTGCAGGTTTGTTTTCAGAATATGGGAGTGGGGAATCGTTGTCTTTATGTGTGAGTTGACTTTTTTTTAATTCATGAGGGTTTTTTTTTCCCCCAAGTGGTCAGAAGGAAGAATTATTATTCATTACTTTTGGTTATTAAATAGATACACAACATTTTAAGGGTACATGTAGAAAATAGACTTTACATTCATTAACATAATAGCAAAATAGAGCCCTTTATGGTAGTATATGATGTGCAATAATCCTTCCTAAAAAGGCTGCTTTGGATTAAATGTACCACTGTCTCATTTATATGGTTATCGATGTCCTCCAGTTCCATCTGCCTTTGTTCTTGTGTCCCAGATTCCCCAGCAATTCTTACTAAGCCACACAATTTGCTCATCTAAAGTGTTGCTATAGAACCCAGATCATTCACATAATATTATTCAGTGGAAGCCCTCTGTGAATGCTATTTCATGAATGGAAAACCTCTGGAATCAACTGATCCCATATTACATTTTACCAGTCCTTTTAAAGGAATAACATCTCATTTTTGGAATAGTAGAAGCTAATAGGAGATGATTTAGCTACAACAGATGATCCTTGAAATGAAGCGGTATATAAGTCTAAGTGCTATTGCTATTGCTTAAACCCAGGCCATCAAAAATTCTGTACAAATAACTCTCTCCCAAATTCCTCAAGGGGCACAAATGGAACACATTAGTTCTTCATTATGAAGAGCATTAGAAGGGATATGATTCTAACAGGCATTGTGATAGTTAATTGTATTTTAAGATGTTGCTCAGCTACTCTGAAAGTAGCACAGTTTGTGTTTGTTTTTCTGTCCCATTGTAAATGCTCTATTTAGACATATCTGATTCATAATCTACCTTGATTGTATCATGCTTGATAATTGCAAAAGCCATATTTCCATCCCTAATGTGGGTGGCACTTTTCCACCGTACAGTTGTCTCTCCTGGCAGCTGGCCACTAAAAAAAGAGTGCATGAATATCAATGCTCAGTGCAGCCATTGGACTAAAAGCCAATTTACCTTCTACAAAGAAGGATGCCTAAATATCTACATGAGTCATGAATCAAACTTAATTCCTCCAGTCACCCACAGTATAGTCAAATTCGACCAGTTGCTGAGCCAGAGAGTATCAGCCAACGAATACTCTCACCTCCTCTGCTTCCCAACATGTCAACTGTCAGTCCTGGAGAATCCTCTATTATGTGAGTTTATTTCTCTATTTTCACAAATGAAAAGCAAATATGTGTTTAGCATAAACACATGCAACCCATATATTTACTGATACATATCAGTGCACATTT